AAAACCTTGTTAAAAAGTTTGGTCTTGAAAACGCTAAATGTCCTCAAACTCCCATGTCGCTCATGTAAAAGTGTCCAAAGATGATGAAGGTTCATATGTTGATAAAACTCTATACAGAAGTATGATTGGTAGTCTTTTATATCTCACTGCTAGTAGACCTGATATTTGCTTTAGTGTTGGATTGTGTGCCAGGTATCAGGCTGCCCCCAAGGAATCACATATGAAAGCAGTCAAGCATATCGTAAAGTACATTGGAGGTACAATAGAGTATGGTCTATTCTACTCTGCTGATACGAACTTACATCTTGCAGGTTATTGTGACGCTGACTGGGCTGGAAATCTTGATGAGAAAAAGCACCTCTGGTGGGTGTTTTTACATAGGATCAAACTTGGTATCTTGGTTCTGCAAGAAACAAAACTGCATCTCCCTTTCTATTGCCGAAGCCGAGTACATTGCCGCTGGAAGCTGCTGCTCTCAATTGGTATGGATGATACAGATTCTATCTGAGTATGGTATGAACGTTCATTCGGCTCAACTTTTATGTGACAACACTAGTGCTATAAATATTTCAAAAAATCCTGTCCAACATTCTCGTACCAAGCATATTGACATTCGTTATCATTTTATTTGTAATTTGGTAGAAGATGGGGTTATTGTGTTAGATCATGTACCTACATATGATCAGCTTGCTGATATTTTCACTAAAGCTCTTGATTCGAAACGATTTTTGTCCCTGAGAAAATCTTTAGGAATGTGTGCTATATAATTTATGTGCATTGTGTCAGTTGCATTTCTATATATATATATATTTATGTATATATATTGTCTATTGCATATAGGATCTTTTCTGTATTTTAGGCATCTTAGTATGTAGGTTCATCCCTAGAATTCTTCTCTGATCGTTTATTGTTAAGTTTGTTGATTGGTGGTCTGTGAATTCTAACTGGTCAGTTTGTAAGAGCTCGTCATGATGACCATTTTAATATACTTGTAAGAGCTGCTCTCGTGAAAATAGGCATCGGGCAACTATCACATGAGGTGCTTCCTTGATCACCTGTGAAACGAGTTACGTGTCTAATAATAATCGAGGTGTGATAGCTACAAGTAAACATTCTAAGAATGAACGTTCTCTGGTGAACTAAGGTTGGCCATCCTGATATCTTCTCAGCTTGTTCAAAATTAAAACTTTTTGCGGGATGATTCACACCTAATGGGCTTGACATTGGCGTATAGTTGATGTTAGTAAGTGAATTAGTGTGAAAGTTCATAGGACGGAGTAAGTTCATCATAAGTATTGGGGCTGAATTGCGAACGAAAATTTTGTTTTTTGCTAAGAGAAAGTGATGAACGAACTTATATTAATTTCGTGTTGTATAAAAGTGGGAGCAATAAGGGCTGAGTTGTGTACAAAGAGAATTTACTTTTCTCATCATCTTGTTAGTGTCGAGCTCGCCTCAAATTGATTTGGAAAGATTTGTGGGTCAATCAATTAATGAATCTTTTCAATATTGCATGAAAAGAAAATTTTAGGGTATTGCGTGTTAAATATCTT